GTTTCATAACTGATAGTTCGAGTGATAGGGTTAAATAATACCCAAGATGGCTTTACAGAATCATCAATAAGTAAAGAGTAAGTGATTGGACCGCAAGCTGGAATAGATAAACTCCAATCTGAAAATGAAAAAGATTAGCTGTCACTGCCTAAAGTATAAGCTTTATCAGCAATAGTTTCAGGAGTGATCACAACACTAGGACACTCTGATTTCACTACTATTGCAAAATCCTGATTAATTGTTTTATATGCTGTACCTCCAATAATTCTAAGATTGTAATTATTAATCTTTGCAGAATTAGAAGTTGAAACGTAAAACTGATTACTTGAAATATAGAATATACTATCAGCTGTTGAGGAATCAGCCTAATTTACAACCTAATATGCTAAACTTCCACAATAAGATAAAGAATGTGTCCAACTTAACGTGAATATTGACTGAGCTATCCCTGATTCAATAAGATAATCGTATGAAGAGAGAATTGCTGAAGGTGTAATAGCATCATTTTAGCATGCATCTTAAATTTTAATGGTAAATTGTTATGTTGCTGATTGCAATCCCTATGAATTTGTGCCTTTTAATTCAAAAGTATAAGTCCCGATGTCACTAGTTAATGAAGTTTAAATTGCTAAAACTCTTGAAGTATCAGTAAATGTGTAGAAATTTGAGCTCTGAGTAGTGCTTATTTTTGTTAAAGTATATGCTATTAAGCAGCCTGTTGTATTGATGTTAAAAGAATTTAGTGTAAAACTTTGAATTCCAGTATTCAACGTATATGTAATGTCAGTTTAGGATGTAGAGGTTATAGAAACGTATGAACAGGCACCAATCAAAGTTAGTTGAAATGAAACTTCAGCACTTTACTCATGGTTAATTCTACCTAGCATTTTTATTGTATATTCTCCATTGTAAGCTTAAGTAGATGTAGAAACAGTATATACTCTTGTGTTGGTGTCAAATGTAACAAAACCAGATACAGTGCTAATATCACTAGTATATTTGAATATTAAATCTGAACAAATCTACTATAGAGTATAAGCAGGAATCGTAATAGTCATTGCTGAGCTTCCAATAATATAAACCTTATTTCCTATACTTGGTGTAATTATTGTCTTCAATGAAGTGGTAAAAATTTGAGATACGATATATGTGATTGAGCTAGTAGATGTTTTGGTAGCAAATCCAGTAGCCTCTGATGTACTCACAAAAGTACTTGTTAATAATGTTGAAAATGTCAAAGATTCACTTGCCATTGACGAAGGGGAAGATAACGAGTTAGTTATTGTAATTTCACTTTCAGATGGGTTAAAATTCATAAGCCAACCAACTTTTTAAGTAAAACTTGTAGTTGTGGGTGTTTCACTTGTAAATGTAGATATCGTTCCAACATAGAGTACTTAGGATAAATCCATCCAACCAGAAAAGAATTAATTATTCAAACTTGAGGAGTAGTAACTTATATCTTTTTATCGATATTAGAATGCAGAAAAATCTGCTTCTCCAAGTCTTAGTTAATTGTTATTTTAAGAAACTAGATATCTCAAAGACAGGCAATTAGTTGCTTTTACTTAAATGCATTATGAAAAGCCATTTATTTAACTGAAAAGGTTTATTGATTGGATTAAAATATTACGTTGATGAGCCCTAAGAAACCTGTGTACGAGCAGAATTTACATTAAGTTTCATAAACAATATATTTTAGCCATCTTCTGCACAAGCTACAAGACATCTTGTACCAGCTGAGGTATCTCTCAAATAATCAAGACTTTTAATAGAAAATTATTAAGTTGATGAGCTTTTTCTATAGAAATATATAAAGAATGCTAAGATCATACCTAATGGTGAATATCTATTAAACTTCTCCATTAAATCTAACATCGACAATAGCAGTAAAAAAGGTCCCTCCACTGTCTTTTAATATTCCTCCGTAAAAATAATAACTAGCTGTTTCATCATTTACTACAGCATTTGCCTATGTTTAAGCCTGAGGCCATTTTAGATTGAAAACTGTATTTTTATTTTAAAGGTCAGATTCTAATTTTAAAATATAGAAATACTATGTACCGTAAAGTTGCATTGCTAGGTAAAAATTCCCACTACTTTCAAATTTCAAACCTTTCGATGGAATAATACCTTTAATTCCATTGGTTGAAGTAAAAAATCCACTTATGACTCCTGCAGAAGTAATCAGCA